ATTTATTCTAATTTATTATTTTTAGAGTTTGATTTTTTCTTTTGCAGTGGACGGTGGTGTACATTTACATTACTTTGTTTGGCTAGTCTCGGACAGTCTAATAATGCTTTTGCTTTGTTGTCATCTGTTGTACCATGTGCATATGTATGTATATTCTTTTGAAACGTGGGTCAGTTACGTAACCTTCATGCTGTCGCCTATTTTGCTGCGGCGCCTGAGACAGACGTGCGGCTTAGTCTGTTAGCGACCAGAGATGCCTACAAATGGCTTACTGTTTGTTAGTGGCAAACTAAGGTCACGGGATTACACACTGTGCAGCTAGTATTATAATAGCAATCAGTCGATTAACGAAAGAGCGAATCAGAATGCAGGCAGCTTCTCAAGAAGGGGGTGGGAGCAAATTATGGGAACACGAGAAGCTTTAGAACTAGCAGATAATTCTAATTCTGGCTTTCTTGAAGCATTCACTCATCAAATGACAAACTTGCTTATTCCAGATGCACCCGTATAGCCGGAATAATCAATTTTTTGTTTTGTAAACCTCCATCATCATTTTGAGAAACACCTACACACTCGTGTCTTATTTCGGAACACAGCTTGTAAAAAACTATTCTGCATAAAATGTATCATTAATAAGTTAAAATATTCGAAAATTAAAAAAAAAATGCGAGAAAGCGTAGTCGCCACAATGTGCGCTCATTCTGTATTTTAGGCCTAGGATTATGCACCATACAATATCGATCCGCGCACGCGTAGCTCATGCGTTGCGGACATGGCGGCTATGATCATCGATTATTGGGATCGTGGATCATAAAGACCGGTCTACGGCCTGAGTTCTTTATATATTGCATACCAGTCGGTTCCCCTGAACACCGAAAGCGTTAGAATTTTGATCGGTAGGCGGCTTCCGCTCTCTTAGACCCCTTATCTTTTCTCATCAGTTATTATCGGTTGCTATCACCGAGTACTTACGATTTCGTCATTCCCTACATCTTTTATTAAAATGTCGAGGTCCCACTGAATTCCCGCTCAACCTTTTAGCGCACGTCCCGCCCTCTGTAGGCGGAGTCCGGTCAAGCCATCGAACATAAGCGTTCCCGTCCTGCCGCATGTACCCCTTCCAAATTTGAACGCTGTAGGTCCACGGAAACAGGAGTTATCAATTTGCTGCCAAAAATTTCTATCGCGCACGCCCCGCTCCCTGTGGGAGGAGTCTCTCCCTATTACATGTCATGAGTGTTTCTATCCTGCCCCATGTTCTCCTACCAAATTTGAGCGCTCTAGGTGCACGGGAACAGAAGTTATGAACTTGCGGTCAAACAAACCCACCGACACGCACACAAACCCGCCGACAAAGCAACAGACACTTAGCGAATTATTTAGTGTAGGATTCCTCGATCAGTATTCATTGCTGCTTTTGTATTGCTCCATACTATGATGTTGCTCTTATCAGTGGAATAAACTTCTTCCTTGTTGTTGATGCATACCTTCTAGTAACGTAAAAAAAAACAACAACAAAGTCATGAACGAACAAATGGACATGAGATGTTATTCACTGTTGACAAATTGTCATGTGCCATCTCTCAAATCCAACTCGTATAAACGCTTGTGTAGGACTTCATGTTGCTGCATATGTTTTTTTTT